CAAAGAGTAGCGGAAGAGCTGTGAACCAGCGGCTGTTATGCATGGGGGACAGAAAGGTCTGCTAGCTGATTGGTCTGATTCTGAAATGGAGAAGCAGCTGGACAGTATCAGTCAGAATGACAATTTATGCAAAGTCTTTGCCAGGGAGGTTGAAATGCGGGGAGTGAATCACATTGTGGAACGAGTTTGTCAGAAAGTAAATGAGCTGAAACAGCAGTGCAGGTCTCTGCTTCTCACAGGCAGAGGGTGACACCAGGCTAAAGTGAAGCCCAAACTGGAAACATCCTGAACTCACGAGGTGGTGCTTGAGTCCCTCTGTTTGGGCTGTGGTTCCACAGCCGGGAAACGCCCCCGAAGGGTGTGATCTCCGCCCTGTCCCCATTAAACATGCCGTTGGTGTTCACGCAGAAGTCTTGCTAAAGGATTTGGTTTTAGCGCCTGCCTACCAGGAAGTTACAGCTTAGTTTGGTTTGTAGCTGTTAGTGGTACATTTCTGTCTTGCTAACTGCACTGGTGGGGGTTCCCCTAGTGTTGACCCTTTCCTGTAGAAGATGACAAACACACAAGAAACAGTAGCGCATGAGCTTGTGAGCTGTAATGGTGTGACACAAAGGCTGGCCTATTAGCTAGTTACCGCTGACAGCATTCAATGTGGTTTCACTTGACTTGCTGTAGAACTGGGGCAAAGCTTTGCGCCAAAGAGTCGCTTGAAAATTCTCACCAGAAAGAGGCTTCCTCTAGCTGTCTGATGACAAGTGCAGCAAGTGGTAAGCTACAGAAACAAAACAGAAGTGTGTGTGTGTGAAAGAGATTACATTACATTACATTTAGGTCATTTGGCAGACGCTTTTATCCAAAGCAACTTACAAGTGAGGAACAGCAAGCAAGCTACAGTAGTGTAGGAGACCTTGGAGTAAGCTTTAAGTGCAACCTAAACAACTAAACTCAACTAAATAAGTCGAGGAAAGTAGAAAACAAAGGTAAACGAGGTGAAAACACAAGGATAGACAGGCAGAGGAGACAAACAAATAGTGACAGGAGAAAGAAGTGCGAGGCAAAAAGTGCACGGAGATGGAATTGTGTTAGAGTTATTAGAAGTGTTAGGAGAGGAGGTGCTCTTGGAAGAGCTGGGTCTTCAAGAGGTTCTTGAAAATAGAGAGGGATGCCCCTGCTCTTACAGTATAAGGGAACTCGTTCCACCAGTGGGGAACTACATATGAGAATAGTCTGGACTGAGATTGCCTTGTGTGTAGGGATGGCAATGCTAGACAACGTTCCTGGGAGGAACGTAATGGCCGAGAAGGAGAGTAAGCCTGTATGATTGAGCTCAGGTATGTCGGAGCAGACCCAGAGGTCACTGTGTAGGCAAGCATGAGAGACTTGAATTTGATACGGGCAGCCACGGGTAGCCAGTGGAAAGAGATGTGTGAAAGATGCGTCTATACTCCAAACCCAATTCTGTTAGTCCATCTGAGAAGGAGCCACTAAGGAAAAGAAATGCTAGTAAAAAACAGCACATATTTGCTTTCACCTTAACCTTTTGAACTCATTTGGCCTCCAGCCCTGTTGCTTTCTGCTGCGCTGTGTTCAGAGAGATGTGCTTAAATGCGGTCAGGTGGAGTGCTTTTCTTCAGCGCCCCACCGTTGCAGTGCACACACCTGAGCTGCTTCATGCTTTCAGGTGAGTCCTGTTCTCTGACATGTTTGCCGATGGGTATTCTGTTCTCTCCCCTTGTTGTCATCTGGTTTGATTCCTGAGGACTTGGCCATTTCCTCTTATCCAAAGACACACACAGGTGACCCCCCACTGACCCCCCCGGACCGCTCCCAGGAATCCGCTCCCAGCCCCAGCAAGCACATCACTGACACAGAGGTAAGGGGCAAAATTAACAATCTTTATTCAGACAAGTTCATAGGTTGTACATGTAACTGACACAAACTGTTTAGGAGCTAAGGCTCTCCTTTCCAGCCCCCCTCCTCCCTCCATCACCATCCCCCCCAAACACACACCAAACCCCAGGTAAGCACTCTGGAGAGGGCATTTTTACTGCATAATCACTAATGTTTAGTTTCATTTCAACTGTGGGAACATTCTCTTTTTACTCATATGGAATACAAAAATGCTGTTTGAAAAATCCTGGCCTCTCCTGTTGTAAAACAGTTTTCAGTGAAACAGTCTGACCTCCGTGTGTGTGTGTGTGTGTGTGTGTGTGTGTGTGTGTGTGTGTGTGTGTGTGTGTGTGTGTGTGTGTGTGTGAAAAGCTGTGTGTGACAGAGCAGGTGTGTGTGACAGTGCAGGTGTGTGTGTCGAGCCTCAGCGGCAGGTGACACCCCCTGCCCCCCCCACCGCCACACAGTTTGTCTTTCATTGCCTTGTGTCAAACATTTTCTAATCAACCTGTTTTTTCAGCACCACCTAAACTTCCTTGTTTTGGTTTCTTATCTTAGAAGTGGGTGAAACTGACCAATAAGAGAGCAGCTGAAGACATGGTTTCATAGCGTCAGCTCTGGAAAGTCCATGCTGCTGTTTATTCAGGGTACCTCTGTGACCTCATCCAGTTGGTCCAAGTAAGCTATGAATATAAAAGATAAAAACAAAATTAAAAACAAAGATTTTTTGGTCAAAGGCCAAGGTTGGTTTGGTCAAGGTTGGTTAGTTTCTTTTTACGTTTTTGGTCATTTTTCCTCAGTTATTATGATGTACGTGCATATGAGGTAGTACAGCAGCTTTGAAGAGGTCATTTTTGCAAGGGATGTCCGTAAGTTTAGAGCTTTACAAATCTGTTCGTTACAAGCCACCTAGTGGCCTTTCGGGGTAACTACATTACAGGACACATTGCCGGACATCAAGCCAATGCGTGATAACGATCCCTGCAGGGGAAAGTGAACTTGTGTCGCCCTGCGCATGTAAGAAAGCACAATATCATTGTTTTTCAAGCGCCTTTTAATAAAATAATTTTAATGGTTAGGAACTGAAAATTTTTCAATATTGATGGACTGAGATCGATTTTGAGTGTTCTGTTCACAGAACAGTTTATAGAACAATGCCTCATGCTTTAACTCGTTCTACAGCCGTTGCCCACATTTTTCCACGGTAAACATTCTCTCTCGGCCTCCTGGATCCTCTTGGAAGTTACACACCAATGACAAAAGAAAGAATAACTGAAAAGAGACTAATCTGTGTTAAAAGTAGTTAGACAAGCGAGGCCCATCATGTCTGGTAGGATTTTTCTTCAGATATGGATTTATTTTAAGGCAGCTTTGTGTTTATCGGTATAGAGAAATGGTGTAGCCTAGCCCTGTTAAAGGCGTGGTCTGTGACCCGACCGGGATAGGTTAACCCTTCTGTCAGCCCCACCCATAAATCCTTTTCGGTTTGAACCCGATCCCCTCGCGCTGACCTCTCCGTACTTACTGGGGTGCTGTCACGTGCGCCGCTTTCGACCCCGGGAGAGGAGCGCTGGCTTGCGGCACTGACGGCGGGGAGCAGCATCTCAGCGCAAGCGTCTTTCAAACGAGCGGACCGGCCCCCACAGACCCTCGGAGGGTTCAGTGTTTACGCCGTAGCTTGTTTATGTTGAATTGAAGTCATTTCTATCACATCGGCAAGGGATAGCGAAGTCCCCAAGGAGGCAGCAAAATGACAGCGGTAGAAACGCAAGTTCAGTACACTACCTACATGACGTCGACCACGGAGGAGTACATGCACCAGGAGGAAGACTGGGACAGAGATCTGCTGCTGGACCCGGCGTGGGAGAAGCAGCAGCGCAAGGTAACCCCTGAAACGGACCTAATGTAAAGGCGACAAATTTAGCAGCCCGATAACTGTAAAGCGGCTGAGGGAGCGCGGCTCGCCCACCTGCCGGGTATTCCGAACTCGCAGCGTCTTCCGCTGAGTCTAACTGAAGCCTGTACCCTTTCCAGTTTCACACAGAAGTCAGTGCTAGCTGCCTTTCTGCTGTTAAGCTCTCCAGCCTGACAAATCGATAAGTCTCCACAATGAGAAAATCAACAACACAAATAGGCAAATGCGTACAGATGCTCTGGTGAGACCTCAGGTTTTTAAATGCATTCTATCGCAATTTACATATTCAGCACTGAAGTCATAGCGAACATTACTGTTTAGAGTAGTATAAATTAACCAGGGTTCTTCCTTATTTGACCCCATATTTGTTAGTTTTTCTTTTGCTTTTATTTATTAAGGTGTAATGATTAATTTTTGCCCGAACAAACATGGTCATTTAAGTTCCTAGAACTTGATCCTTCATAAGAGATCAAACATCATTTTATCCGACCCCAACGCTAACCACAAACATTTCATGTAAGGTTATGAATCTAATCCAGGATAATTTGATGAGTGGCTACGCCGGTCCCTCGTGAGTCGGTTATCAGAATTAGACCGGTTGTCCGAATCAGCTGCACAGGACACTGGCGAATATTTATAAAGACAGTCCCGTTAAAACCCGTTAAAGCCTCAGATTAAATTTAAGGAGTTATACTTAAATCAAGCCGTCTGCTTTTCTGCCGTCATGAGTTTCTAAACTTTGGCAATCTTCATGGCTTTGGAGATTCATGAGGTATTTACAAGTACAGTAGAGAAGCTAATCTAGTCACTGGAACATGAACCCTTAACCGTGACCAAATGGGGTATGAGGTTGTTTCGAGTCCAGAGCAACATCATATTTTTGAATTACATAATCATAGGATCACAGCCAAACTTTGCTGCAGCATTTTTCCGCGTGCTTGAGTGAATTTGCAGCGGTATGGCTCCCGTGATTGGGACAGATGTAAGCAATCTTAAACACTACGAATCTGACTCTGAAACGAGTGCATGTGTATAAAACAAGTTAAAACAAGTGCTTGTCATTTACGGTTTGGACAAGTAGGAGAATTAAGGTCTCTCTGAGACCTTCTGAGACAGCTTTATCCAGGCTCAGAGATCTCCACATTGTCCCGTTCATACAGATGTGTACTGACCCTTGCTGGCAGGCACAGCTGCAGTGCAAAGCCCGGAATCAAACCTGCAGCCTCAGGCTTATGGGGCCAGCTTGTTGACCTCTGCACCACCCATCATAATTATTTAATTCATTACAAACTCAACCGTTAGAGTGACAGGGGCCCACAGGTGCCCCCCGTGACTGCACCCCACTATCTGAGAGGGGTGAGAGATGGTGACAGATGGCAGAACAAGGGGGAGGGCAGTGCATGCTGGGTGTCAGTCCTCCAAATAGACCTGCATCCTAAAAATACCCACAAGCCCCCCTGCTACACTTGCAAGCCATCCATCAGTGATTTTTACATGGTCTGTTTGCCTGTTCCAAGGGGGACTTGCTCAGCTTACACATCTGACATATAGGCATTATCCATTTATACAGCTGCTTATTTACTGAAACCAGCAGGTCTTTTCCTCAATGGAATGACAACACCGCCCCCTATAGGAATAAAACACAAATCTTTGCATGTCCAGTTCCCTAACCTCAGTGCTGCACTGTCACCCACTTCTGTGACCATAGTGCCACTTGTGCCCAGTTCTATAACCATGGCAACACACTGACTCCCAGTTTCCTAACCATGGCACCACACTGATGCCCAGCTCCATAACCATGGCGCCACACTGATTCCCAGTTCCGTAACCATGGCGCCACACTGATGCCCAGTTCCAAAACCAAGGCAGCACGTATTTGCTCTCTGTTCATTCTAACCATCATGTGTTAATATTCTACAGCTTTTCTGAATTTGGTTAGAAGCATTCTGTCATGCTTGTGAATTATATCACACCCTGTTTCTCTTTACAGGCAGATTACAGCACTATAGCACATAAACAATGCAATTATAATCTAATCACACCTGTATATATGTGTGTGTGTATGTGCAAGTTGGTGGTTGAGTGTGTGTGTGTTTGTGTGGAGGCTGCTTCTGCTGCAGGCACAGTCGTTGAAATACGATATCGAAAGCAGGTCAGAGGTGCATTGAAGCATGTTTCTCACGCAGACACCTTCCCACTGCTGCCAGCAAAGAGAGCCTGTCCATCTCCATGCAGCAGGGTGTGTGTAAGAATCCCTCGAGTGGCACTCCTTTCTGTAACAGAACCGTGAGCTTCACCGCACAGGCTCGTGGGACGTGTGCCTTTGTGCGGCCTCTGTGAGAGAGTTTACAGGAGCTGATCTCTGCTCAGAAATGCACTCTGAAGAGCTCAGAACAGCAGCCAGCCGAACTCCTCTCTGCAGGCTCTTGTGCAGGGGACCCCATTGTGAGATTATCCAGAGCAACTTACATAGGTTTTTATATATTTAGACAGCTGGATATTTACAAAGGCAATTCTAGGTTAAGTACCTTGCCCGAGGGTACAGCAGCAGTGCCCCAGCAGGGAATTGAACCAGGTCACAAGTCTTGCTCCTTACCACTATGCTACACTGCTGCCCCAGACTGTTATAAGTTTCAGGCACCTCTGCTTGCTGTTGAGTCTTTCTGTCATAGAAAGTTATGCAGGAACTGCTGATTTAAAAACAGCTGCAAGAGGAGCAGGAATCTGCCTGACTCCTGGCTCCTCTGTGTGGCAGATGAATAATCAGAATATGTCAAATGAACTCTACCCTTCCAGTCTACTGTAAACTGTTGGGTTTAAAAGACGCATTTGAATGAATTTGCGTGTGAATTTACTAATTAAAAACTTCTAAAACCCACAGGAATTAATTACTGGAGGATCAGACTCACTCATCCCAGCTGTCGTGTGTAAATACCCAAAGCACCCAGCAGTGCTCCCGCTCGCTGCGTCTTTAATGGTTTAGGATGGAGGCCCTGGGAGGCCAGGCTGTCCCTAATCAGATCAGCCGGGGAGAGAGGCCCCCCCTGCCAGGGAAGGGCTTTCCCCCCAGTTCAGTGCAGTTCAGTCACCTGCACACAGCCTGCACCTAGTTCTGTGCAGGCGCAGACGTGTTCTGTGATAAATCATTTAGACACTTTATGTTGAGTGTAGCTCTGTGAGACCTTCACTGAACACCCTCATGAGCAGAGCACTACCACTTCATAAAGCAAATGTTAGGAGCAAACGTTTTGCTTTATGACACAGTGTGAGGTATCACGTTACCCAGAATTTACATGCTTTATCACGCAATGTCAGCCATCATAAACTGCTGCAGTTGTTGATGAGTGTTTTAGAAAGCATTAATACCATGCTCCCAAAGGTGGCAGGAATGCTTAATCAACACACACTTACATTTGTGGTGTGATGTTAATTTTAATGGGAATTCTGACAGGTTTGTTCAGTGAGCTTTGTTTTATCTCAGGGTTGGGTGGCTGGAGTCCTGGAGCACTACAGATGCAGCTGTGTTTTTTTCTATCCAAACATTTCTGTAATCGGATCGCTAGCAGGGTCCCTGTGCCCACAGTGTCCAGTATTAACAGACACAGAGAAGTTGCATCATCAGGACACGCCAGGAACAGAGTTCCCAGCATGCCTTTAGGGGGTCACTTATCTCTAGGGTGAGGATGGCTGTGATTGGCTGTACATTAAGGGTCCTCCCACCATGCAGGTGCAGGTGTGTAAAAACAACCTTTGAAATGTATGCAGCTGTCAAATTAACAGTTTTTAATTGTGTGATCGAGTTTTGGAAAGATTTTCTTTCAGATTTCCACCTGTTAATATAGAAGGGGGAGCAAAGGCTTGTTGAGAAAATTCCAGCTGCCTCTCCATACTGTCCAGTGTCTTAAAGGCCTCATATTGGGTCCTGTCTCTTGGTACTATCAAATGTCAGAGAAGCCTAACTGAACCAAAGAGAATGAATGGATTCTGGTTGTTTTTTCTTACTCAGAGATGCACCTTAGAGCAACATTTAGCACTGTGTTTGATTGCATTATGTTATTGTTGCATCACTGAAGTGCGGGATGGAACCTTTTTTATTTCCGTCTTTATCGGTGACCTTTGTGGGGATGGTGTTCCGCCTGGCCTGTGGGTTCCTCTGGTGCTGTTTTCCATAACAGGCCAGAGGGACTGGCCTCTGGGGACCCTGTGGGCCCCTGCTTCCCCTCCTATGCCAGGCTTTAATTGCATCGGTTTAAAAGTTCACCACCTGTTTCTCCAGGTCTAGATCACTCGCTAATTAAAAAGCGGGAGCAGAACTGGTCTGCGTCCGTCAGCTCCGCCGGGCGGGAGCGGCCCTTTGCCGTGCTGCAGGTGCTGGGATCACTGCTCCTCTCCGGAGACCTCCTGTCGGAGGGAGGAGCTTTCCGTCGCAGACCCGCTTTCAGCAGGGCCACGCCTTTCAAGTCATTTCATGTTTTAATGCTTGAGTATTCTGCATAATTCAGCCCTGCTTTTTTCAGCCACCGTTCTGTTTCTTTTTCACTGCAGAGAGACCTATGTGGGAATTACTCTCACTTCACTTCCAGGGAGAGAACTGAACAATGCCAATCAGTGATCTTATTTTATGCAGAGTTGTTTGGCTCCTTCACATGGAAATTGATGAGGAAGATAAAAAATTATGAAAAACTCCTTAAATTACATACATTTCAATGGATTGAAGAAACTGATAAGAGACATCATGAGTGAATAATTAAATATTCTCATACCTCGTTGTAAGGATTCACTTGACCTTTGACCAGCTTCTAATGTATAAAGGTGACAAAATACTACAAAATCTCCAGTACCACAGGTTGAGTTCAGGTTTAGGTCTGTTTTATTCTAAGATGCGCATAGGTAGTGTCCCTCAAAGTGCTACAAATCTGAAACATACCAGAAGATTGCAGGCATGTTTCATCCTGATTAATTTCTAATAAATTCAGTCAGAATGAATTCAGCTGTTTCCTGTAGGAATGCTTTAACCATGGGTCCTCCCACCCACCTGAGCAGCAGGTGAGCTCTACCTGAAATGTTTCCCCTGACCCACCTGAGCAGCAGGTGAGCTCTACCTGGAGTGTTTCGCCTGACCCACCTGAGCAGCAGGTGAGCTCTACCTGAAGTGTTTCGCCTGACCCACCTGAGCAGCAGGTGAGCTCTACCTGAAGTGTTTCGCCTGACCCACCTGAGCAGCAGGTGAGCTCTACCTGAGGTGGGCTGGAGGGCAGCATTGGAGGCAGGCTGACCCAGGCTGACAGCACACTGGCCAGGTGAAGGAGTGGGAAGCAGGTGTGTTTGTCCTGTGTAATGTCCCACAGGCAGAAGGCTCCCTGTACAGTGCTTACAGACGGCCAGGCAGCATGGCCTCCTCCTCAGGCAGGATGGGGTTTTGGAGTTCTGGTGATTTTAGGAATGCCGTTTTGGTTTAGTTTAAAGAAGTGAAATTCCACTGGGTTGAAGCTCAGAGGCACTGTGCCGTCCTGGTGCTTTCTAAATCAAAAGGGACCCCATCCTGCTATCCCAGCTATGTCCTCTCGCGCAGAAATAGCCTGGGCTCAGTTACACTGGCATTTTTGCCCTGCTGAGCCACTCAGTGCAGCTTTCCTGTGCTGTTTCACTTGCATTATATGCGCTTATGATCTGCTGCAATATCATCAAGTGCATGAACTGAACTACTTCTGATCCTGCTGCTTTGTTTCTGTGTAGTTAAAGCTGAAGAGTTACTTTTGTTGTTCCAGATGGCAGTATCTCAGTTGGGCGATGCCTAATGTATATATTTTTAAGTGATATGGTGCTTTTTGAAGTGCTTTAATGTCTATGTGAAATATGATTTTTAAATGCCTGCAGTTAAAGTAGTTTGCTGATCTGATTGCATTGTATCACCTCTGAGACTCCAGTACACACGGAATTTATTAAGTATGATTTTAATGTTATTTATTAGCCTGATAGATACCCTCCTCCAGCGTGATTCGTATCATTTGGCATATTATCCATTTATCCAGCTGAGTATACTCAAGCAATTCAGATTAAGTAGCTTAAGGGTACAATGGTGATGCCCCAGGCAGCATTTGAACCTGCAGCCTACTGCAGGTTAGTAACTTCCCCCCGTTTTAACAGACTGATGGGAGGTGTGCTCGGAGCCGCTGTGCAGCGGTAGCGTTGACGCGTTTCTGCCGGGTCTGGAGGAGGGCAGCTGGCCGTGTGAGGGGGCACGCAGCTCCGCCTGGAACAGGAAACT